TTTTTTTTTTTTTTTTTTTCCGGGTCGATTGCTTTGATTGATTGTTGTTCTTTTCGTTTCGGGTTGATTAGTTTGATTGATTGTGTGCTTATAAAACAAACGCAGCATTTCCGGGGATCCGTGGAAGCCTTCCATGTGAAAGCAGTGGACACTACTGGTGCTGGTGATTCATTTGTGGGTGCCCTGCTTGCAAAGATTGTTGATGACCAATCTATTCTTGAAGTAAGTATTATTATCATCCTAAAAAAAACAATAAATATTATGGATTTGATCCATATGCATGTTTAGTGCTAGAAAGAAGAAAAACTTGATGAATTTTTTAATTTACGTGATTGAATTGAATGCGCAGGATGAGCAGAGGTTGAGAGGGGTGCTGAAATTTGCAAATGCATGTGGAGCCATTACAACCACCAAGAAGGGAGCAATCCCTGCCCTTCCCAGCGAGTCTGAAGCCTTCACCCTAATCAAGGGAGCTTAGAAGAAGAAGATCTCAAAACAAAATTACTTTTGCTCTCTTATTTTTTTTTTCTTCTTCTTTTTAACTTTGTAGGACCTTTGTTTCAATTTCATTTGCTTTTTGATTGGAGAAGGGGTTTTCCAACCTCAGTTATCTTTTTGCCTCTGCGTGTTATGATGGAAAATTGGCATCGCCTTAAGCATCGCTGAATAAGTATATAATTTCCTCACACATTTTCAGTTTATTTAGTTTTTGGATGTCAGCTATTAGTATTATTTTATTATTCTATTTTTTATTAAAAGTTTAGACACGTCAAAGCTTTGCAATTAAAATTGACAAAACCAAAAGCTACAATTAAAATTGAAAAGGGAATTTCTATATATCCTACATACACTAAACTATTATTTTTATTTTTTTATACAAGCGATATTCTATTTTAATTTACGGAGAGGAGAATTTGAACTCTGATGTAGAGTATCTGTTCTAACCAACTTGAATAAGTCCATGTCTGCATCCTACACCAAACTTTTATCCTACCATAAAAAGTTCTCATTTACCCTATAAATAAAGGTTACAAAAATGAGAGGTTTGGCCCTTTAGGGATTTAAAACAAAAGTGGGGTATAATGAGCAACTGGTATTGTGTACATACAATTTCCCGTATCTTTTTTTATGCGCATACAATTTTCCTTTTAAAAAGGATACAGATTTATAGTATAAAATCTACTTGGGCCGTAGGATTGATGACCCCACTAAAAAAAACAAAGAAAAAACAAATTATGTGGAGCAAGCATTCAACAAGGTGCTCGAGCATGCTTTGCAATCATGCAAATTTAACACATATTTGGGGCCAAGACACACTAAGAGATTTTATGTCAGCTTTGCATACTAACGCAAAAAGACGAGCAAGGCCAAGTGGAACACTGCTTACAACTAATTTGAACTATGTACAATGACTACTAATCTAAACTACTACCAACCTCTTTTTTTAGCCGTGATTTCTCTGACGGATTTTCTGCTTGCATTTGGGGCAAGCCAATAGTATCAATCAACATTATCCTCTCTTCCTCTTTTAGTTGTTCCCTATGAAGTTTTTCCTGCTTATTTGAAATAAGCTCTTGATCTTGAGAATACCTTCGATGAAGCTTCTCGTTTCACTTATGCTCCACTTCTTTTTCTCTGTTCTAAATTCTTGGAAGACAACCTCGCAGGCACAGTCAAATTGTCTTGAACGTAATCTATCTTTTTCCTTAAAAAATTGTTTGCGACCATTCTGTCTACTGGCCTTTCCAAGCTGATAGATGTATCACTTGCAACATCGTCTTCCCTTAAACTTATTGAATCCAGATAAGGAGATGACATTCCCAGACTCGCACTTTTTCTATATTTGGCTTTTTCTTCAAACTATTCACCATCCATTTCTTATTGTGTTTCAGTACTTGCCCAACAGTGTAGAAATTGAAATGTGGTCTTGTATTTGCTGGTACATCTCCATCGGAGGTATTATCTGGAAAAGTATATAAAATAAATAATTCGAAAATTTGAAAAGTGAAACTATTAAGATAAAAACATATTAAATTTTTTTACCCTATTTGGTCGTTGACACCACTTTGTTTCATTGCTTTAATCTGGGCATAGCACCCACAAAAATAATTCACTGCAAATTGCATGGCTGAGCAACAGTCCATTAGAGAATCAGCAACACGCTCAAAAGTAAATTTCTTTCCCTTGTTGAAATACTCCCATATTCTTTTCCAATACCCACTACTTTTTTGCTCATCTCCATTATCTGCATCTAAGCAAACATTGAGCCAAACAGACACAAGCTGATTGTCTTCATCGATTGAGAAGTTACGAGATCTTTGTTCCATTTTGATGGATTCTATTTGAGCAGGAATTTGAGTTGATAGAAGAGATTCATTGGAAGATTTATCAACCGACATGTAGCCATGCGTTGAAAAGGTATCGATAGGGTCTGCATCGCTTGTATTCTCTGTGGTCATTATGCCTATTGGTCTCCACAGGCTAATAGATTTATCACTTGCAACATCATCTTCCCTAAAATTTATTGAGTCTGGAGTAGAAGGAGAAGTTGTAGGACTTACAATTTTACTTCTTTTGGACATTTGTTTTTTCTGAAGTCCCCACCACAAACATTGTATTGTCCTTCAATACTTCTTGAGAGTTAAGGGAAAACACTAATAAGAAATCGCATCTAAAGGTGGATGGAGCAAAAAAAAAATCCGTACAAATAAAAAATCCCTACCATGTTTCCCTACAAGTATTACAAGGCACAATCCAAAAAGGATTCATAGCCTTTGTTACACATGTTAGTCCAATCATGTAATAGAATGAGAAACCAAAAATAAAAGTCTGCACATAAAAAGAATACTAAATTGTAAAATGCAAGAAAAAATCTAAAATTTCCATTCTGAAGTTTAAACTCACCTCCAGAGGATTGCAATTTGCAAATTCATAGATCTACAATATATATGAACTTTATTGTGACAAATAACATCAAACTCCTTAGCCCAGTATTTCTCAGATTGAACCTAACAAGGAAGTTTTCTTGGAGGATACATGATTGCATAAATACCATTTCAGTCCATTTTCGTTTTATTAACTCTATTTTTGAGGACGGTGAGTGAAGGAGTGAAAGCAGTCAGTTTACAGCGCAATGGGCCGTGGTTTTAGTTCACTAACCTCCATCTGCAAAGACCTCCAAGCAGGCCTGCATATTTCCCACTTCCCCTGCATATGAGCCAAAAATGCCTCTGCCCATTTTTCCTTGCTCCCTCTCATGCTTAGATCGTAGGGGACCGAGAAACTATTCAACCATTTAACAAAAAGTAAATTCCAGTCATGTTGGTTATAAACCATCAAAATAATCATTACGATATTAAAAGTTTGGCCGTCTAAATGATGAACATGGTTATCACAATATTACACCATCTCACAATTCGAAATAATAAAAAGCGACTCTTATGACCATAATTTCTAGATTTCTGACTTTTGTCCAACATGAAACCCGACTGAAACAATGAATGACTTCTTTGGCAGAATGATAAGAAAAAACTACTGGATTTTCTTTCTTATGCCCATCAATTGATTGAGCAGTTGAACGAAAACGGATGGTCAATCAATCAATTGAAGTACAATTTGAAAGAAAAATTTGGAGATGATTCAAGTAGCCAATTCCCACCCCAAATCCTCATTTCCCGTTGCATATTGAAACTAAATCCAACTTCACCCAATGCTCCTTTTTCCCTTCTCCTTGGCTCTCCCACAAAAACCCTCATAAGTCTTTTAACTCTGCTGCCACCTAACTTGGGATTCTGAACAAAGACAAAGAATGAGTGGGTAAACTTTCCAAACCGATTGCAGTAAGTGTGCCTCCCTACCCCTTGATATGAAAACATTCTTCCACCCTTCCAAACTCTTTCTTGCTTGGTAGACAACAAGGTCCCAAAACTTACACCCTCTGGGAGTTCCAC